CAGTGCAGCGGTGGACCTCTTGGGCTGCTTTACCGAATCTCGGTTCAGCCGCTGCAGATACTGGGCATCCAGGCGACTCAGCTGCGGCGGTGGTAGGATCCGGTCCAGCTCTTTGAGCGTGGGCAGCAGATCAATCTTGGATATGGCGATCATGAGCAGCTTTTCGTTGGTGCTGTAGACGCCGTCCTTGTGGCGTGTCTTGTAGTATCCCTCGAGGACGAAGAAGAGGAAGGCCAGATCGTTCCCCCGACTGAGCCGCACCATGGCGAGAATCTTCCGCATGCCGATCACCGGATGGACGCCGAGCATCTTCAGGCACTCCTCCACCCGGAAGCCGGTTCCCTGCTCAAAGTCGTCCTGCAGTCCGTCGGAGATGCCGCCAATGGCCGCCAGCTGGTACTCGGAGATGCCAGTGTACCACTTGGCAAAATCGAGCTTCTTGAAGAATTCATTCAGTCTCTTCTGATCGCTACTCATTTCCACGCAATAATTTTCTTTACTTTCAATTTAAATCCCGTGAAAGCTAACCAAAATACGGATGATTTTTATACTGGAACTATGGGAACACTTGATTTTGTATAAAAGGGTCTCTATATGGCCTAGAAATGGGTTACTCTGAATAAAACTTCAAACAAAAATAAACAAAAAAAATAAATTGTTTGTTGGGCTCCCAAAATTTTCTCATATTCACTCATTGCGTTAAATGTAATTGGCGGTTCCTCCCATATCAAAGAACACTCTGAATCCTGTGTCCCATCCAAGATGCACGGCTGCATGTGGAGATGCCCGGCGGGCAATGGCAATGAGCCCCAGAATCCCCCCCAATGTATGTGCCGTTCCGATGCCCCGGCTATGCAGATGGCCCACCGCATCGAGGAGTGTGTGCCCGGTCTTAATGTATTCTGTATGCGGTTCGGGAACTGCGGCTTGATGCATCCCCAATATCCCCCGTGCATGTGCCTATGCGCCTGCCATGGGGAAGGCGGTGGACAGTGGCCGCAGAATCCAGAAGTCGTCCAGTCGGCCCCGCAGAAGAGAAGGTGCCGGAAGAAAGGCATTCGGCAAAGCAGAGAAAGTTACAGCTGCCCCTGCCAAAATGCCTTCACCCAGACAGACATATCCTACGATCCTGAAATATGCTCCGTGGACTCGGGGTCCCAAACGCCCGAAGACGAAGAGGGGCCTGAGTACACGGCCGTCACCGACATATTCGAGGAGGAGAAGGCGCTAACGCACCGCACAGGCGAAACGGAGTACATGAATACCGTTCACATGATGGTGACCAAGTACCCAGAGGACGGTTCCAAGCCGGTGGTGGAAACGACCACGATCAAGAAGTCTCAGTCTCTTAACATGTTGGGCGATGTTGACGCAGAAACCATAGAGACCCTGCAATCTGTGACCGATTTGAGTTATTCGGTAGAAACTGGCGAGCATATTACATACAATCCTCAAAGTGATCAAAGATACCAGTCAGAGGATCGTCAGTTGTCAAGTAATCAAACCCACGAGTCCAGCGATCCCCAAAGTGCTCGAAGAAACGAGTCAAGGGATCTTCAGAGGGATCGAAGAAGCGTATCAAGTGATAGAAAACGCGAGTCGCAGGATCGTGAATCGACCAGTAGTCGAACCCGCGAGTCAAGTGATCGTCAAAGAGATCAAAGATACCAATTAGAGGACTCTCAAAGACACGAGCCAACGGATACTCAAAGAGATCAAAGATACCAATCAGAGAACCATCAGAGACACGAGCCACAGGATCATCAATCGTCAAGTAATCGAGTCGATCCACAAAGTGATCGAAGAAGCGTATCAAGTGATCGAAAACGCGAGTCACAGGATAGTCGATCGTCCAGAAGTCGAACCCGCGAGTCAAGTGGTCGTCCAAGTGATCGTCCAAGTGATCGTCCAAGTGATCGTCCAAGTGATCGTCCAAGTGATCGAAGATCGTCTAACGAACCCCCAAGCAGCTACCGAGATGGCCTCACACCGAACATCAAAAATGTAAGATCGGAAGATAGTCGAAAAATGAGCGAGCGTGAAAGTATACGATCGGCGATGCGACCAGCGCGATCCATTTCAGCATCTGAACCCACTGCCAGTGGACATCATTTCAAGTCGGAGCCCAATGTCGTTGTGTACCAGAAGACTGTCAAGTCGGATCACCAAATTCGACTTGATTCGGCGGCCAGCAGAAATACGGATGTGATGTTCGAGGATGTCTCTAAAATGGACCACAAGAATAATATGGCCTCGGCTGGCGGTCCGTCGTTTGCTTCTACGGCAAGGTCGTTTGGCAATGACAACCAATTGCTTCGGCCTGGAGAAAGTACTGACCAAAATGATTATGATAATGTGTCCATGCTGCAAGTAAGGACGGTCTACAGGTCGGAGACGGAAGAAAAATTGCTCGATTCGGACGACAAGGAGATGGTTATCGATGTTCATGAGGAGATAACCGATGAGGTAAGAATAAGATCCCCAGAGCCAGAGCCAGAGCTAGAGCCAGAGCCAGAGAAGAAAAAGGTTTCCCCAAGGACCGACTCGAAGAACAAATATCCCTCAGGCGCCATTATCGAACATATGATCAAAAAGGGGTATGACTGCGTCCAGCCATGCGGCTGCAACTGTTGCACCCCCCGCTGCTATCCCTGCGACTACTGTTGTGGAGGCTTCTGCTACTCGAATTGCTGCGGCTACTGCATGAATCCCTGTTGTCCCTAAGACTCATTAATGAAAACCTCCCATAGCCCACGCCATCCAGTACTTCAATAGCCCAAACCAACATATTAGTTCCATAATCTGTTAGCTTCCCCAATGAATAAAGCACCCAACAAACAACGAAATCAACAGAAATATTTGCTCCTTTGGGCTTGGGTTTATTCCTTTGCCAAGTGGAAATCCTGGTAAAATAATTTGCGGTCAATCTAGCCACAGGATCGTTAATGATGCAGACGATTAGCACAGTCCCTAGTCCTGGACCCAGCACTCTGCCAAATGAGATTTGGCTCCGAACTGCAGCTTATGGTCTTTTGAAATGCAATAGATTGGCCACTTGAGTGCCTTAGGCCAGGGCAATAAAGATAATTAGCATTTCGAATAGAATTATAATATTCTGATGGCCGGAATACCTGAAGATACTTCGCTGAAGTTGTTGAAGGGCGGCCGGCTTTCGCTTCGATTTAACAGAGACATTATTCTCGTATCACATCTGCAAGCAGGTAAATATTCTGTCTCTTGACCATTTCCTAAGTTTGTCAGTATGGAGGAAATTGAATATTTTATTTACGGATATTAAATGCCTTAGTTCTTTGGCATCTATGGCATATTTCGTTATGCCCCCCAGAGCTTCGGCGACGGCTCTGTCTGGCTTGAGAGTTTATCAACGAAATGTTTGCCATTTAATTTTTGTTGACCCTTCGATTGGCCGGTTTACGAATAATTTAGCCATTTGCGCCAAAGCAAACAAAACAAAATCCAGAGCCTGGATGTTCGCTCACCAACGGATGTTCACTTTAGGCCACTAAAAGTTTCTTTCTTTCCTTTTTTTACCTCAACCTCTACCACTGCTTATGCCTTGGGGCGGCCGTCATTTTATTTCGTTTCATGTTTTATTCACCACTTCCGCCGGAAATAGACATACGAGAGTGTATGTGTGTGTGCTGCACAGACAGGACAAACGATGAAACCGAGAGAGAGAGGAGTCTGGATAGATGGACGACGGATGGACAGATGGACGGATGGATAGATGGTTGGCTGTTTGGCTGTTTGGCTGGGATAGATTTTTGGTAGAAGACCAGAGACCAACAAAGTAGAAACGCTTTTCGCAAACAAATCCCACATAAATGCTCAATTTATAACAGACCGGAAGTTAAACTTAATCAAGCGTACTTTCTGGCTTATTGTTTAGTTTTTCCCTCCTTTCCCGTACCCACACTCTTTCCGTATTTACTTAACATATTTTATTGCAATACTTTGCTCTCTCTCTGGGGTGACCGGGGGGTGTCCGCACCGCTTTGCCGGTGGGATTACATGGGGATTTTGTGTGCCCAAATACTCTGGAATACTCGACTCGCATTTCCATTTCGGCATCAACTCGATTCACAGCAAATCCCTCGGTGCTTTTCCACTTGTTCTCGACCATTCTTCTGCATTTATTCATTCAGTTGCTTTATTGTTGTCCTTTCGTTGCGTTACGTTTCATTTCATATTTCGTTTGATAAATCTCCGGCATGAAACATGGATGGTTTTAGGATTTGTATCCTCTGAATAGTTAAAGAGTTTTCCCGGCATCCATACAGATGGAAATGCTTTCATTGAGGATTAAAAAGGGGGGGTTTTGGGGGGAGAACCATCTCCATTCTATTATCAGTGACATTTTGAGGCAACTAATATTAGTTCCTGCGTTGACAAATATTTTATGAGCTGGCATTCCACTCAATTATCCCTATGAAATTTGCATCAGTTGTCAAGCAATTAAATTGATTTGAATTAAGTTTATAGACACGTCTGTCTGTGGGCAGGAATGCCGCATATTTGAGCTTAATGTGGCATGTGGCATGTGGAATGGGGCGTGTCTGGTGGCATGTCTCCTTCGGATCCCTATTGTTTGTTTATCCTTCAGATGAGCGCCAATCGCACACGCCACTCGCAGGGCAACAATCAAAGGAAACGGGCGGGGCGGGGCAGGGCAGGGCAAGGCGTTGGATGCGTTTCGCATTTGCTAATGCACTCGATAATTGCATGATGTGCCCTGCATCAATGTCTGCTAAATTCCTGCGGGATGCCACCCGAGGAGGTCCCACGTGGAGTCGATTCCCTTCCATGTTGGCGCAATTAGGGCTCATTGTTGCTGTCAATATGAGAAATTAGATCTGTCAAGGTTTATGAAATACAAACAATGGATCTAGGGGGGGTACCTAATTGCATTGCGGCCGAGGTTTCCCTGCTCGCCGACTAGCCTTTGACTGTCGCGTCATTTGGAAAATAGGGCTCTGATTTAAGCGACATGTTTCGGCTAACATCTAGGAAAGTTTGATCAAAATTCAACAATGGAAACATGAGGCTCCCGATGAATCTGAGACTCGACCTTCCGCTGATGCGCCGGATATGTCCTCGGGTATACCAGGGCAGTCCGTCAGCGCCCCCTGGCCAGGCGAGGAGAGCGATCCGTGTGCTGGGGACGCAAACCCCGGCCAAGGCCCGCCAGACGTACGTAAATCCGGTGCCGGATCTGCAGAGGAGCAACGAGACGAATCACCTCAGCATACAGGTGGACGTTGTGCACAGCGTGGCGACGCCGGGGGAGGTGTCGCTGCCGGCCCTGATCTACTTCTACGGCCCGTGGAGTCTGTTGGCCAGCAAGCTGAGCCTGCTGAAGCTGAAAATTCTGCGCGACTGGGCCTTCTCGGAGGCCAAGTTCGTGGAGAACTCCAGCCATGGGGCGCTCATCATCACCGACTTCATCCGGCGCAAGCGGGCGCGCAATGTCGAGAGGTGCTCCACGCCCATGGGGTACAAGCAGATCAGCCACGACCTGATAGACGGCACCCACGACTGGCGGCTGCAGATGATGCGCTTCGAGCGCCGTCACATCCATCGCGTCATTCCGCTGAAAGTGCAGCTGCTGCAGCACTACGGCCACAAGTTTGCCTTCATCGACGTGGTCTACGTGGCGCTGCGTCGCAGCAACGACTTCAGCTCGTCCAAGGATCTCGAGGAGGTGTACAGTCTGATGCGGCAGAATGCTAACAACTCGTCGCTGGTCGCGGCCCATCCGCTCATCTTTGCCGAGATCTTTGTGCGCTTCCGGCGGGACTACTCCGTCAAACCTACGCGAATGGGCAACGTGCGGGAGAACAGTCGCTGCATGGGCCAGTGGCTGGTGTCCACCTACAAGATTCTGCAGTTCGACCTTATCGATCATCATCCCCAGTTTGATATTCCACTGACTGGTGGGCACACCGTCACTCCTCTGGTTACTCAATAAAACAGTTTGATCGGAGAATGGCTCCACTTGAAGGAGGACTGCCTTCCTGGAAGCTCTGCTGAAGACGGTGTCATAATCTGCGACGATAATGAGGCTTATCCTAAGCGGATGCACTCGAGAGTTCAAGGGGAAGTCCTGTCTGTTGTTTCCCTTTTCACCTTTGGCAGTCCCATGGGGAGCTCTACCTCTACCTCCTCTCCTCTTTGCTTCGCTTGCAACTCATGAACTGCTAAGCACCCTGATAGCCCCTGGGGATATTGAAAAATTTCCCACTCAAAATTTGTCATAATTTACCCAATTAATATTCGCCCGAAGATTCATGTCCCAACTAATGCCGCAATCACTATTTTTCAACTCGTTTCTGAACATTGCTTCCAAGTATTCCCATCCCGCATTCCCCCACGCTGTTCTGTTCCCCTGTTCCGCTTATCGGAACACGTTCTGGCGTGCACTGCAGCCTGTCAATAAGTAGAATTTATTATGCGCGTGAGTCCAGGCCAGCAGAAGACTTGGACGTGGACTTTTGTGGGTGCCACAGCCACCGCCACTGCCACCGTCTTGCATTGAAATTTAAAGCGTGCAAGTTTATGCTTTTAATTTTCCGCTCAATAAAATCCTGTGGCTTTCGCCTGCACAAATTACACTGTTGGGAGCCATTGCCTTCCACCACTTACCCTCATTACGATGCAATAATGAATTTCAGCAACATTTGCTGCAAGGTTATTGTCCCTTAATCAAAAGGGGGGCCATGGAGACTGCTGGTTCCTCCAAGGACTTTGATAATCGTGAAATGAATCCCTCTAGGGGGAGCATATAATTTGCACTTTTTAATATAAATTACCCAGACTTTTACACATTTTTCACTCCCCTTGCTCCGTCTTCTGAGCTCCTCCCCCATCGATATTCAAGTCGAGACCAATCTAGTCCTTGGGACGGGCACAACAAAAATGTTGTGTCAGTGCAAAACGTTTCCACACTCCGCTCTGAGTGATAGTTATTTTCGTTTGAAATGTAACAACAATTACTGCGGAGCGTGTTGGCTGCAAGACTTGGAATTATTTTCAAAATTGCCCTGTCACGTAAGCGGCGAAAACAAAGGCGGCAGCAAGCCACCTCCTAGTTAAAACTTTCCTGACACAAACAAAACCCAACAAGGATGTGCGAGCCGAGGCAACGAACCACGAACTTGGGACACACTTTCCGAAGAGTCGAGCGAATGGCCAGCTAGAGGAGATGCCCGTGGCAAGGACCTGCTGCAATGACAATTTTGTTTTCAACTCGAGATTCGGGACACTGACCGCCGCTGTAATGGGCAACAAAACAAATGACGACGCCATTGACAGGACACGGGCGGAGGGCCATGGGCGCCTGCCCCACATGACCAGAGCTAGAGCCAGAGCCACTCTCCAAAGGAAGAAGGATTCGCATGCCGATGACAATGACTTTTTAAATTGTTTCACAAAAGTGTCCGTTTTGGTCAGAAAGTTTCAGTTCGTAGCACCAGCTGCTCCTCCAAATAAATGAGGAAAGATTCTTTCTTCTTTCACAGAGAAAGTGCGATTCCACTTGGTTAACATCATCATTATCGTTATCATTATCATTATCAACAGGGACACGATTACACGGCGACGTTACGTGATAATGAGTATGAACAGGCGAAATCAGACTTTATGACTTCATTCGAGTCCCGCCCCGCCCCGTCCCGTCCCGTCCCGTCCCGTCCCGTCCCATCCCTCTCCATTACCACTATCGCAGGCAAGCAAGCGAATGTTTGACTGTCTGGCTGCCTGGCACCCCCACGCGACGCTTGTGCAGGTGTGGCAGCCACACCACAGACTCCGACTCGCGACTCCATCTCCAGCACAGCATTGACTGCTGGGCGGTTTCCCGCCCATCACCTGTGTCTGTGTCGTGTCCGCTAAAGTGCATTTGATGCTGCCGCCATCAGGTACCAGGTTCCAGGTCCAGGCTTCGACATCACTGCAGACACAATTAAATAGACATTCACTAGCTTTGATAGCGCCATTTGGCTGGGTTGGCACCCAAATGGATAGCTCCCCAGCGAGCAATTTGTGGAGCCCTAGAGGAGGTTGACTCTAGCACTCATACTCATAGTGGATCCAGACCGTATCCCTATCCCTGGCATACACTCGTGTGTATGCATATCTTATCTGTAAGGCAAACACATTTTTCATGCTTCTTGTTTGTTGAAATTTTAGCTGGAAACTAATTTCCCAAGTCGTCATGCAACTCGACTCAATTTGAATTGATAAAGTGCATTTGAATGCCAGAAGTAAACAATTTGGGATGCAAATTGGGGGAAGTAGCATGCGAGTGGGAGATAGCGAGAGAACGAGAGAGCGAGGGTTGCTCCAGCCATAGAGGGGCATCTCAATCGGATATGCGAGACACAACTGATGTTTCACGGATTTATTTGAGTTTCAGTGACAATTCTTAAAAGAAAAGTTACCTGCCACCTACCCCCCTGATGAGAACTTTATAATTACACCCCGCTGACAGCATCCTATCCTCCGTATGCAAGGGAGCAGCATCCGTAAGGGAGTCCTGCCACGCACCCACTCACCCACTCACCCACTCACCCACTCACCCACTCACCCATCAATGCGTATGCATAAAACTTTTGCCGCACTTCCTTCTGGGATAAGTATGGAAAATATTTAAAAGAAAAGTTTCGACTTGGAAAAACACTCGAACAGCTGACGACAAACGAAGGGAGGAGCAGGAGGAGGAGGAGGAGAAGGAGCGGAAGGGAGCTGGCGCCAGACTCTGGAGGAAATAATTTTCAATTTTCTCGTTAAAAACATTGCAAACATTTCAGTTTTCTCCTTTCTTTTCTTATTTTTTTTTATTAGAAGAAGTGCGAGCGCTTTTCAAAAACTGCAACGTTTTGAAACATTTTTTAATGAGCACTTCAGCGGCATGTGGACGGAGAAGAAAATTATTTTACTTTTTCCACTCGCACTGGGGCCGATGAAAAATTACTTTCATTTTAATTAGGAACTGCCTCAAAGAGCAAAGTGCAAAAAGACGAAAAATTAAATTAAAAACACTTTCGTGCATTTAAGCAAATAAAGAGAGCGAACACGGACACACACGCACACACACACACACACACACACACACACACCTTCGCACAGAGGAAAAGCGCGGATGCATGCGGCAGGCATGTGTGTGTGTGTGTGTGTGGGTGGGATTTTCCCTGTGTGCTGCTTGTTTTTTTTGTGTGTGTGTTTCCCCGTGTACGTGCCGAGCGGAGTTTTATTTTTTAATTAAGCTGTTTACATTTAGTCGTAATGTCCTTGCCGCGTCCCTTTATACGTACGGGTATGGGTCGTGGGAGCATAGGTGCCAAGAGTAGTTTGTTCTCCCTCTGTGTACTGTGCTCTGTGCTCTGTTCTTCCAGCGACTAAGAAAAACAGCAGCCGCACCTTTGTGGGTCAAGTGAGCAGCCGGGCTCTTGCGGCTGTCGGCGCCACAATTAAAAATGTGCAAACTTGCATTATTAAAAAGAATTTCGCGACACTTCTTGGCCAAGCGAAACTGACCCGGCCCAAAAGCGGAGACACAAAAACTAAACCCGAAGGACAGCGATGAAATCTAGCCTTTGGTTTGCACCAAAAAAATAATAAAAATGGCAATTAATGGCTCACATTTTCGGAATCCACAAAGTAAATTGGAAACCATTCGACGGCCATTGGCAACCACAGCCATGCGATTTTAATACATTTAAAAACAATTTGATTAATGGGTGGACATGAAACCAAACCAAGCGAAACGAAATGAAAATCGACCTAATTTGAGCGCTAAATGTTTCGCATCCCTTGGAAAAAATATAGATTAAAAAAAAAAGAATTAATTAAAGGAGGGAAAAGTCAATTAATTGCAACGTTTTTGGTTCATTAATGCAATTCGCATATTTTCAGGGATGTAGCCTATGGGGCACACACAAACACACACACACATTGAATTCAATTAATTAAAATGTTTTTCTGCGAGGCACGGTACCCGTAATTGGCTTCAGGTGCAACAGTGGCTGGTACGAATGAATTTACTACCTCCGCCACTGCCAAAACATGTGCCTCGCGGGCATCGATCAAGGGTCGCTATGGAAATCCTCATTGAAGGCCCATTGCATAGCCCCAATGCCCCCAAAGGGAAAGTGTTCTAGCTCTAACAGCTAAATGATTTAAAATAAAAACATTTTTAATGCACGGAATGGAGCACCGACCACTAGACCATTGCCAGTGCATGTAGAACTGTACTCGCCTTGCCTCAAGCCTCTGGTGCCTCCTACTTATCCTGATGAATGCTCTCTATTGAAATGCGGCAAGCGACGATCTGTAATTGAGGCAGCTAGAAGCTAGAAGCTTCTGATTAGTGCCGCATGGCTCGCATTGGTGCGCGCTCCTCATCAGCAATGGACAAAGGGCCTGGCCATGTGGCCGAAACAAATTCCCGCGCTTTGTGCAGGAAATTGGCAAAAAGCCTTGGCCAACCAGTGCGTAGGCAAAGCGGCAACAAAATGCCGCCTGCGGCCACGCATCGCTTGCAACGGCAGGAGCAGGAGCAGAAGCAGCCGGGTTGGGGGCAGACAGACACATTAGCAGTTCCTCTGGTCATTACGACTTTTGTGCTATTTGCCATGGCACACATCCCTCTCTTGTTCAGGCGCGTGCCTGGTGCGTCTCTTGTCGTGTTTGGCCAACAATCAAAGCACATTTTCCATTGTTTGCCGTCGAATGGCAATGCGGCATCACGTTCCGCTCCGCTCTGCTCCGTTCCGTTTCAGCTACTAATCCTACCAACTTTCTTGCCTTCTTGCAGAACATGTCGACAAAGGACAAAGGAAAGGCAGACCAGATACTGGGTAATTCCATGGTCAAGGGAGTGCATCGAGTACAAGGACATTAAGCAGGCCAGGTGCCCAGTTCTCTGAAGCCAATAGATCGACGAGGAACTCTCCACTCGGAAACGAGGTGTCAAAAGCATTACGACCATTTCTTTGTGGTAGATCAATCATCAAAATTTACGAGAACCGGTGGTCCCAAAGTGTGTTGGCCATAAAATGGTCCCGGAAGGCGGGGAAACTAATTAGACGGATATCAAATACGGATTAATGGCTTTCCAAGTGCCATAAAATCGAAGGCGCAACAATTAGCCGGGGCGGCCATAGGATATGTGCCAGCGGCAGTGGAATGCGAGCGAATATGTTGTGTCAACCATTAAAACCGAATCGGAGTCTGGTATCTGGGGGTCTGAGGGTCTGGGGGTCCTTCACTGCGGGAGAGTCGTTGCAATGCAAAGTAAAGTCGTTAAAACCTACAAAAGTTGTCTGCTGATGGAAAAGTTTTCCCTCGAAGCTGAAGGACGGATAACTTTGTTTTATGACTGTACATTGGGCGTAGAATTGCTTTCCATTTAAAAAATTTTAATCTAGCCCATAAATAAGCAGCCATTTCATTAGATCCGCATCCTCATGTGTTGCCAAGACACCCGTCTCCGTGACGGACAAAGTTTTTAATCTAATGCATCATCATCGTAAAAATCGTAGAGTCTGTTGTTAGTTGTTGGCTGTGAAAATAGTTGCCCCTGCTTGTGTTTGAGTTTGATTCTCGAGGATTGCCGCCGCGGACTGGCTGTCCTACTTTGATTCTCGAGGATTTCCGCCGCGGACTGGCTGTCCGACTTTGATTCTCGAGGATTGCCGCCGCGGACTGGCTGTCAGACCGACACAACTTGACCCCATAAGCAACTGGGGCGCAAAAGTTTTTAAGTTTTCGTTCTGCAGCCCAAACTTTGAACTTTGCTGGGGTCCAGGTTCAGGTTCAGGCCCTGGTCCAGAGCTAATCCGTTTTGCGGGCCTTTTTCAATTAAAATTAATTAAATGCAGAGCGCGCGCGCGGTCGCAAATGTCAAAACAGTTTTCGTGGAGACATGGGCACCGTCAATTAGGTGCCCTGTCAAATTCCCCGTACGGCTTTGAGAGGTCTGGGACAGGTCCGCGACAGATGATGAACAACTCGATGGAAGGACGTGGTGCATGACAAAAGTTTCCCCCTCAATGCTGGAGGGGGGAGCTGGCTCCTTGGGCCGCCTTAAGCTGAGCTTAAAAGTTGTCCTCGCAACAAAACAAAACCTGAGAGCAGGCAGTAAGCAGTAAAACAACGGATTTTAAGGATTTTAAAACAATAATACCAAGCGGCGGCAGTGGAATAAAATGTATGCCGTAAAAGGGCTTGTTCTCTTTTATTTTCGTAATGCAAAAAGCTTAAGAAAATTTGTAAGATTCGGAAACATTCTCAGATGTATTCTGCAGCATGCTTACAAAATGGTTTATTTTTTATTTCAGAGCTGCCACTTTAAGAACCCTTTGCACGGCGCTTCCCCCCTCCACTAATTATGACTCGAAATTAAATTTAATCCTAATCTGCTCCCCCGCATCGCGGGCACAATTTCCACTCAACAAACTCAAGTTTGTTGCTCCTGCGCGCCCTTGACTGGGCGTCATCTTAGTCATTAAAACAGGTTCGCGCTAAACTCTCAAGTAAATTTCCCCGGCACTCCACTGGCGGACAGCTAGCTGCTTTAGTTGCCCTCTAATAAACTGGCAACGGGTATTTTTAACAAGTTGTTGCCAGAGTGCACAGCACTGAAGCTGGGCTGTAATTAACGTGGGACAGATGATGGCAGAGAGGAGCCGGTGCCGGTGCTGGTGCTGGTGCTGTTGCCATCCATTCCCCTTGCCATAGAACAGATTTTGCATATCAGATTGCTGCTGCCGGCTCCAGTTTGGACCCTGCCTTGTGATTTAATAATCAGCGCAGGCAGCACAAACTATCCAGAACCAACAAACAGAAGGGCAGATTCGGTGGGAGCTCCGAAATGGGGAGCACTCTTTCAGTGGAGATTATTCCTCTGCTAGCAATGGGACATGCATGTGCATTCATGAAGGTCTCTAGCCTCCGCTGGTAGATCTTGTGGTCTGGTGTTGCAGCTTCTCTCGAAAGGGTATCCCTTATCCCCCATCAAATGAACGCCTCCTCCTCCTGCCATTTAAAAGGGCAGAGAATAGAAAACTGCAGGCGCGAATGGAGCCGCGTGCAAAAATGAATTGTGCGAGACGATGCTGCGCTGCGGTGGCAACTCCGAGGCCGAGGCCGAGGCCACTTGCAGCTGGCAATTTGCATAAATTTAGACCAGTGACACATGGCGGTGGAACAGAGATAGAGAGAGTGGCGCAGAGCGAGAAAGAAAGCATTGGAAATACTTTGCAAAGGTATCCAGACCCCACACCCGATCTGGGGGACTCAAACAGTTTAGCAAACATTTCCAATTGGCGTTTAATTAGCGGCTAATCCGCTTGCCACAGCCTGGGCACTGGGCAGTAGGCAGTAGGTAGTAGGTGTGGGGGCGTGGCGTGGCGTGGCTTGGCATGGCTCTGGGCCAAGCTGCTTTCTCTTTTTTTCCTCAGTCCGCTTTTGGGTTGATTTGCGAGTCTCCACAGGTGCCAATGGCGTTCCTGATGTGGATGCTGGGCGGAGATGGAGCTCTGGACGGGTAAAAGTCCAATTAAAATGTCGTGTATCTCTGTGGTGGCGCCACGCTGCAGTTGGACTCCCACGCGGAGTCCAATGCCAATGCCTCTGCTCCCTGTGTGAAATGGTAATGTGATTGGCCTTGCCACTGCTGATTGCTCATTAGAGCGGAACATTCAGCGGAATCGGAATAGATGAGGACTTGAACTACTCGCACAAACGGATGCGGATGTCGATCGGATTGGATTGCTCTGTAAGGGGGAAATACTCTACTCTAGAAACCTTTGAATCTCCCATATCCTTGGGATTTCAATCATCGAAAATCATTCCCATGACACATATTTTCCCCATATTTATAAGTTTGATAAAATTTTCGTTTACATTACACATCCATGGCACTGGAGGGCATATGCGGCGTCGATCGATGGCCCTTCATGAGGCGCTTCGACCACTTGCAGACCGAGTGGCAGAAGGAGCAGGTGCGGGAAGCCACCAGCAACTTTGAGAATCCCTACGCCCTGATGGCGCCACCCTTCGAAGATGTAAGAGCGCGAGGCAACCAATCCAGAAGACTAATCCATTCCCTGTCCCTCTAGCCGGTGGAGAATTTACCCAAAATTCTGGCCCACTGTGGGGTTAAGATGGACTTTGCCCACGGCACAACCACCCTGGGATTCAGGTACCAGGGCGGGGTGGTGCTCTGCGCGGACTCGAGGGCCACTTCGGGACAGTACATCGGATCGCAGACGATGAAGAAGATCGTCGAGCTGAACGACTACATGCTGGGGACCCTGGCCGGCGGAGCGGCCGACTGTGTCTACTGGGACCGAGTGCTGGCCCGGGACAGTCGGCTGCACGAGCTGCGCTTCAAGCGGCGCCTCTCCGTGGACGCGGCGGCGCGGATGATCGTCAACATCTCCGCCGAATACAAGGGCATGGGCCTGGTCATGGGCATGATGCTGGCCGGCTACGACGACGAGGGCCCCAAGCTCATCTACGTGGACTCGGAGGGGATGCGCTGCCACGGCAATGTCTTTGCGGTGGGCAGCGGCTCGCCCTACGCCCTGGGCGTCCTGGACACGGGCCACCGCTTCACAATGACCGACCAGGAGGCCTTCGATCTGGCCAGGCGTGCCATCTACCATGCCACCAGCAAGGACGCCTACTCGGGCGGAATTGTCCGGCTGTACCACATCAACGAGAAGGGCTGGCGCAACGTGTCCAATACGGACTGCTCGGAGCTCTACAATGTCTACTGCAAGGATGATCACTCGTGCGATGATGCCGGACTGGGTGATGCGGGCTGCTGTATCCACGAAGTTCCCTGCGCGAGTGGCTGCCAGCAAAAGAAGGAGGTGCCGGAGAACGAGGTCTCGGTGCAGGTGGCAGCCGTCACCCAAGAGGGGAACTAAGCCCATATTTTCCTGTGTACGAGGGCCTTTGTGTATTCCTGATTCTGGATACTTGATTAGATTACCCCATACATATGTATAGATGGTATTGTTTTTGGTGGTTCTGCGGATGTTGTCTGTTCTCCGAATCCAGTTTCTGTTCCGCCATCAAATGCATGAAGTCATTTCAAAGTTGCTCCTTTAGGCAGGATGTTGGCCCCCCTCTCCGCCTTTGCTCCTTCGCACGAGCAACTTTCGCTCGCTAAAGCAACTTTTTCTATAAATCAAAATAATAACTTCTAAGCTCCGAATGACTTCCCCTAAATGGGCGTTGCACACACACACACCCATAGAAACACACAGATACAGTGCTAGAGCGAGAGAGAGTGAACGAAATGTTGCACTCTGTGTCTTTCGGTTGTCATCAACAAATGTTGCAGATGCTAAAAGCAGAAGGACCCTGGTGTGCCCAACCGGAAGGGGCGCCACCGCAGACATTAGCAAGCGTATGGGGGGGGGGAGGGGTTCCCCTGGACGGAAGCATGCGATAAATTTAATAAATTACAAACCAAATCCGCAAATTTGTTGAATTCCAAAAAATATAAACCAAAAAGGCGCCAAATTACTCTCAAAGAGGGAGAAGAGAGAGAAGAGCGAGCGAGCTAGAGGGACGGATAGTGGGGTGGCGAAATGGTGGCCACATTTGCACGGCGCTCGGCGAACATGTGAGCGTCACCAAATGCTGCAGCACGTGTTTGGAGCAGCAGAAGGAGCCGTGGTGGCCACATGAAAGAGGAGGACCAGTAGCTGAAGAGCCACCAAGCGAAGGACGAGCACGAGGATAAGAAGGAGGCGGAGGAGCAGTCGGCCAGGCCAGAAGGCGGTTGTGGGAAAAAGTTTTACTGTAAATTGCTTTTAATCTAATGAACGTCGCCATCAGCAGCAGTATGGCGGGGACAGCCAGGAATAGTCAGGATATGGGGGGATAGTGAGGATAGTGGGGGCAAGGTGACCCCAAAGGCACCGAGACTCATTTTTCCTCTGTGGTGTCATTAGAAAATTACTTAAAGCCAAAGTCGTGCGGCGGCCCATGCAGAGATCTGTGCGAGTGCTGTGTGAATTTATAGAGCATTCAACATGGGGATTGGTGGATGGTGGAACCATCGATTACAACGGGATTACTTTGGGATCTATCTATGAGCACGTGTTGATAACTTCCGTTTCTATACCATTCTACACTACTATTTCTCTCTCCTCTCTCTCTTAAAATTTGCATAAAATAATATTGTACACACAATGCAAAAATTTGTATTTTCTAGCGTTGTTGGCATATTAATTGCCGCTATTACTTTCCACTAAATTAGCCATTAAAACAGAAATTAAATGCCCATCCATCGGTCCAACCATCCATCTGTGGTACTCCCTACTCCATCTTCTAAAATGTACCTTCCACCTAACCGGCTCGCCAGCGATAACAAAACAGCAAAAAACTATAATTTAAATTAATTTGCAAAACAACAAGTGCAATTACAGCAGCAACAACAAATTACTGCACCTGCCCTGCTGATTCACAGAGAGAGAAAAGTGTCACGATCACAGGCAACAAATTCAATGCAAAAACGAGGGGGAACGTTGTGAGTTGCTGCGGACACCGCAACTCTACGGTTATACCCGATACTAAGTCAGTATGGCTCTCCTCCGGCAGACGCCGCTAATATTTAACGACACGACAAAGAGTGCGTGCGAGAGAGACAGAAAATCAGTCTGAGCGTGACGTCGGGCGCTGCGTAGCCAGTGCAAATTGATTTGCTCCTTTTGGCTATGAAAATGATCTGATCTGATCCAGATTCAGCAACCTGATAGATATGGTTATTATCTATGATTCTGCGTTTTTAGTTTTCTCAAATCTGCAATATTGTGGATGCAACAGATTTTCGTCCTTTGTGGGGGCGGATGGGGGTGGGGCGAAATTCTGAGATATACGTTTTATAGTGACATCTTAAAGGAGTGTGTGTACCAAATTTGGTTACTCTAGCCTTAATAGTCTCTGAGATTTGTGGTTGCCTCAGATTTTCGTCCTTTGCGGGGGCGGAAGGGGGTGTGGCGAAATTTGGACAGGAAACGGTCAAGGTCCGATATCACAGGAGTGTGGATACCAAATTTGGTTGCTCTGGCTTTTATAGGTTCTGAGATCCTTGAACTCATATTTTGCTATTGGCAAAACCGACCATGAAACCTGTGTGTTAGAGTGAGACAGAGCGAGAAAGAGTGAAATTGTTTTCGTGATTCTGGCTGTAATAATTATACGATCTGGTTCAGATTTTGCACTCTAGAAGATATAGTCATCTTCTACGATTCTGCGTTTTTAGTTTTCTCGTATCGTCAAAATTGTGGATGCCACAGATTTTCGCCCTTTGTGGGGGCGGAAGTGGGCGGGGCAAAGTTTTGAAATATTTTTGGAGCAGTGACATATCACAGAAGTCTGGATCCAAAACATCGTTGCTCTAGCTCTTATAGTCTTTGAGCATTAGGCGCTGAAGGGGACGGACAGACGGACAGACGGACGGACGGACAGACGGACAGACAGACATGACTCAATCGACTCGGCTATTGATGCTGATCAAGAATATATATACTTTATGGGGTCGGAAACGATTCCTTCTGGACGTTACACACATCCACTTTTACCACAAATCTAATATACCCCAATACTCATTTTGAGTATCGGGTATAATTACATTGAAAATTGGAACATAATGAGCTCATGGGCCCACAGCGACACCACATTCCGCGAAGTAACTTTATGAAGGTGTTTCTTTCAGTGTACCCCAGCGATTGTTGGTGCTGATTCTACGTGTGTTTCTGTTGCCATTCCACTTTTGTCAACGAGCTCAAATTCAATGAAATTTCACACTTTGTCGTTAAAAGCGCGCCGCCAACCAAAGGTAGGCCCCGAACAGTCACTGGGGGGTGTAGGGGGCATGGGGCAGGGCCGTTAGCTGTCGGGGCATAAGGATGGAAATATGCAAATGGATTTTGCCAAGCGAATGGAACGCCGGTGACGGAGGGATCCCAGAGAGGTGCAACGGCCGTCAGAGTCTGCCAGAGTGTTTGACAAGCAAGCGTGACTGTTGCGGCGGGAGCGTCGAGGAGATGCAACTGCTGTTGTTGCATGTACAATGATGATGATGATGTTGCTGCTGCTGCTGGCACGGCACGGCGGCAACACTTGGCCAAGGCATCGCTCATGACAGAAGAAGCGGCTGAGGCTGAGGCTGGGGCAGGGATGCCCAGGGACACAATTGGCCACGGCACCGCCCATAGAGAGGCATGCTTATGAGACAACGGATGTGGCAGCAGCGTTGCCGGCTCTGGCATTTTCATTAACACAGAGTCGCGGCAATGTGGCAGAAGAAAGATGACAACGGCAACAACGGCAAGAACAGCAGCAGAGGCAGCATCAGAAACAAATTCAAATGCTGTGCCAGCATCAGCAGCAGCCTTATTAGGAGCAACATGCAACAGTAACATCTTTTCCGCCATGCGGCTGCCAGAGGAGTTCCAGCGTCAACTGCACTTCCAATTTATCAGCTCTGGGCCTTAACCACTCCCAGCAACATGGGCAACAGCCAAGCACAGATTGCATTGCCATTTATTGCCACCTTTAGTCGCAAATTTACTGAACTTCATGGAAACTTGTTTGCCGTCGAGGAACCAACAAAAAGCAATTGTGGAAATAGGTTATCAAAAGCTGGTCAATCGTTGAACCGTCGATGCCAGCAGGATCCGGGACTTGGAGGATGGGAAAGCCGTGGGTTTCATTATCAAATCTTCAGAAGCCGAGCTTAAAGTTCAAAACTGTACATCGAAATACATATACAGAATTTAGTAGAACCTATTCCATAGTATTCAACAGAAGGGTGAGGATTCCGTAGCACTGGTGGAGTATCTAAGAGGAGAGATATGCAGATAGATTTATTACGCGGACTTCCAGTTCTTCAACCAAACTCACGGCCATGTAGTTTTTCATATTGAAGGCAGGAAAGGGATTGGCTCTCATTATCAGCGGATTTTGGGATCGCATAATTACAACGCGTAGATCCTTATGGACTGCCTTCGAAGCAATATTCGGATCGTAAGCCTCGTAGGCAGCATCGGCCACTTCCAGCGACTCCTGCGACATTACATCCCCGAATTTCGTCCACATCGACAAATGACCCAAGGCCAAGATCATTAAAACTATAAACTGGCCTGCCACCTTGGGGTCGTGCCTGGCCATCATTGCCTCAAAGACCGACAGGGAGACCAGCAAGAAGTTGACGATCATTTGCATGATTAAAGGGCCGTGGAATACCTCATTGCACCGATCCAACAGACTGAAAAAGGAATACTTTAGTGGACTTATAACCCAGGTGTTGCACAGATTCAAACTTAATTATCTTCTGATGATATTTGACCAGACGATTGATCTCCCATCGCAGCAGATCCTCGTCTCCATCGCAGAACTGGTGGAGCTGCCGAAGTTCAACGCACAGGACACTCAACGCAGTCGTCAGCTGGGAATAAATGGCCACTGACATCCCTTCGATGGAGATGAGCCACATGAGAAAGTAGGCAGAGTCGAAACGTGAACGGATGCTTCGAAGGATCGTGCCAGTGAAACGGAAAGGCTGCATGGAACGGTAGCGACAGTTCTGTCCAGAGGGGCGTGGTAACCAATAGCAGGACGAAGACTACCATGAAAGCCAGCCAAACAATTTGCATTCCGATGACAATCAGATAATGCAAACGTTTTGCCGATCGAACACCTGCAGCAGCCGGGCCCGCTCTCTCCCAACGGTAGCAATCCTCGAGGCCGTCGATTACCTCGTCCACGTTATCGGCATACAGCAGGAAATATATCAGCTTGAAATATATGAAAAACGACTGAAAATAAAGAATTTTGAGAAGTTATGTTTGTAAACAGAAAAGACTCAGTGCGAACCGCTATTATGAAGGCAAGATCCCGACCCCATTCCACAATGTTGTCCAGGGATTCGAAAATGGCATAAGTCACTGAGCCGAAAAATATCGTCGCCTTAATCATAACGAACAGATGCCAGTTCCTTCGACCGGGTCGGCTGCTTTCCTCCGAGTTCGGGTAATATCCAATAGCTCTACAAAGAGATTATCAGACCCACATCATCATAATGACATTTTATACAGACTTTAGCTGATCTCGGTTTAGGTATGGCACTGTGTGCTCGGGACACTCATCCGGCCTCCGATAAACCATCCTGATCGCGATATACGGCTTCAAGAAACTCTTTCCTTTATCGCTCAGACTGAATCCGACCCGTTCGACCATCTTCAAGTTCGTATAACCGTACAGTACTAGTTGTTCCCAATGAATGCGACTTTGAAGGCGTACAGATACGAGTACATTTGTTAATGGCTATGGTCAATGGCAGGGGCCTGGCGAGAATTTCACAGCTGCTTCTTAGGGCGGTGGTCCGACCAGTCTGGAGAAATTAAATTAAAGACATTTGCAATTATTGGCGAAAAGGAATGCCCTGGCAAGCAAGAGACTAAAGATGTTTTAATGCCCGATACCCAAAGAGTATAGGGGTATATTCGGTTTTTGGCTGGAAGTGGATGCGTGTAACGATCAGAAGGAATCGTTTCCGACCCCGTAAAGTATATATATTTTTGATCAGCGTTAATAGCCGAGTCGATATAGCCATATCTGTCTGTCCGTCCGTCCTATAAGAGCTGGAGCAACCAAATTTGGAATCCAGAATCCCGTCATATCTCATTAAATCATTTTTTCAAAATTTTGCCACGCCCCCACGAAAATCTAAGGCATGTATAATTTTGAAAATACGAAAAACGGAGAATCATAAATAATGACCAGATCTACCAGGCTGCTAAATCTGAATCAGATCGGATCATTATAGCCGGAAAGAACAAATGAATTTTCAATGGCTTACTCATTCTCTCTCTCACACTCTTCCAACTGCAGTGTGAGCCCCCTGGCGAAGTGAAGCGAGATAAACGGCTGGTGTCTGCGCTTTAATCGTGAATGATAAGTGCCTTGTGAAATTCGCCACTAATATGACTGATACAATATGGTATTTAACCCAAGTATGTGAATTCAAGGGTATATGCCCTACGTCACGGTAAAGTTAGCTTCCTTCCGGGTTATATTATTCAATATTTAATTTATAAATTACTTTACTTCTAAGTGTACCAGGGTGAAAGAACAATGTGTGTGATATGTGTGTCCATTTAACTCTACGATTGGAACAACCAGACCAGCGATTATTAGGCTCGGCGGCAGTGCCATATGTAAAATTTTCTTCATTGTCTTGGGCCGTTCTAGTTGGCATTGCTAAGGAAAATTTCCACACCTTCGGGAGGTGTTTTCAAGGCCGTACCCAGGACTTCTCTATGGGGGGTTTTGTTCGTTTCTCTTAAACTGGGCTGTCACCAGTTCGATACAGAAAAGACATACCAAAAACATACATATATCTTTAGCTATCACTGATTCATGATCAGTCGTTGTTTATAGCCAAGTCTTCACTGTTCTTAACCTATTAAATAAGCGTCCCACAGTAGCATTTGTCCTCCAAGTAGGGATTTGACTTTGCAACCACAATCCAAACACTCGAACTATCGACTCGAGCGGCCATGTGCTCTGCAGAGACTTCCTCATATCTAAACGGATTCTTTCGTATCGTTTCTTTTTTTGGAGATAATTCTTAGCAGTCCATCGGGACTCTCAGTCGGCAGTCCAGTTTGGAAAGCCCATTGGTACACCCATATTTTCAAGTGGTCCTTGTGCCAACGGTAGAACAGCCATAAAATGCAGCCGCGATCGATTTAGTTGATATCGATATACTATCGACCAAAAGAAGAGCAAAGCTCACCAGCGCGGGGTATGTTTAATGTGGGAATCGGTGATACACATGCGAGCATAAGTGAAATATAAGCTTGTTCAGAAGTGCAAGATTATTCTAGTCCAAGGTATTCATCAGAAGCGTGAGGATTCCGTAGCACTGGTTGAGTATCTGGAAGAATAGTTATGAGGGTGCTACCAGAGCTACCATTCAAGTGTTCTTCCATTAAACTCACGGCCTTGTAGTTAGTCATATTAAAAGTGGGAAAGGGAGTAGCTCTCATGATCAATGGCTCCTGGGCACGCATAATTATAAAGCGAATATTCCAATAGATTTTCTTGGACCCAACACTTGAGTCGTATGCCTCGTATGCAGCCTCGGCCACTTCCAGCGACTCCTGCGACATCATGTCCCCGAATTTCGTCCACATTGACAGGTGACCCAAGGCCAAGATCATTAGAAGTATGAACTGGCCTGCCACCTTGGGGTCGTGCCTGGCCATCATTGCCTCGAAGACCGACAGGGAGACCAGCAAGAAGTTGACGATCATTTGCATGATTAAAGGACCGTGGAATACCTCATTGCATCGATCCACAAGTCTGAAAAAGGGATACTTTAGTGGACGTACAGGTGTTGCACAGATCCTACTTGATTATCTTCTGATGATATTTGACCAGACGATGGATTTCCCATCGCAGCAGATCCTCGTCTCCATCGCAGAACTGGTGGAGGTGCCGAAGCTCAACGCACAGGACACTCAACGCAGTCGTCAGCTGGGAGTAAATGGACACGGACATGCACTCGGTAACGGTTAGCCACGTGAGGTAGTACAGAATGTCGAAAGATTGTGATAAGTAGATGAGAATGTGCATTCTCGGATGCCTCAAAGAATCGTGCAAGTGAAACGGATAGGCTGCATGGAGCGGCAACTCCTGTTGTGTCCAAAATGGCGTCGAAATTAATAGCACTATAAAAATGATCATGGAAACCACCCAAATTATTTGCATTCCAATGACAATCAGATAATGCAAACGTTTTGCCGATCGCACTCCTGCAGCAGCCGGGCCCGCTCTCTCCCAACGGTAGCACTCCTCGAGGCCGTTGATTACCTCGTCCACGTTATCGGCATACAGCAGGAAATATATCAGCTTGAAATATATGAAAAACGACTGAAAATAAAGAATTTTGAGAAGTTATGTTTGTAAACAGAAAAGACTCAGTGCAAACCGCTATTATAAAGGCGAGATCCCGTCCCAATTCCACAATGTCGTCCAGGGATTCAAAAGCGGCGTATAATATTGAGCTGTAAAATATAGTACCCTTGACCAAAAGAAACACATGGAAGGACCTTTGGCCAGGCACGATGTTTTGCGTAGAGTTCGGGTAATATCCCGTGCTTCTGTAATCCGAATCTGGTTAGCATTATGTACAAGATACCGATTTTATACGGACATAAGCTGTTCCCGGTTTAGGTATGGCACTGTGTGCTCCGGACACTTCCCCGGGGTCCTATAAACCCTCCTGAACGGGGCATACGGCTTCATGAATCTCTTCCATTTCTTGCTCAGACGAAGTCCGACCCGTTCTCCAGATGGTTCGACCATCTTCCAGTCCGTACAAAGCGTACCGTACTGGCTGTGCGGAATGAATGAGCCACGAAAGGGGCTTCTTGGAGGACGTCAAGGTACGCCCGCTAGTGGGCCATTAAAAATGTTCCCTCTCGCAATTGATTGCCGAGAATTTCACAGCTGCTTGTTAGGGTCTCCAGGGAAAAATACCTCCGAATGGTCTTTAAAAATACAATTATTGGCACACTTGCACGTGATCCTCTCCACTTAATGATTGGAATAATGAGTCAAGTGATTATCGAGCTCGGAACATTGAAAGGCACACATACTCGTACACACACACTTCTCTTTGAATGTCTGTGTCTCTGCCTTTGGTAAGGGATATGAAACCAAACCGATTTGGTAGGATTGTTAATTTAATAATTTTTCTTCGGTATATTTTTCTACAATTTTGGCTTTCAAAACTCGGGAAAAGTCGAAATAAATTCCTTAGGACCAGATGTATTGTATCTTAAGATATGCGAAAAAAAGAAGCACTACCTCTGAGAAAAAACGGAAAAAATTATCAAACATTTTGAAGGCCCCAAATCGATCATAAAAAGTCAAGTGGGTTCACAGTAGGCACATATGTGGTGTTGCATAGTGTTATGAGTGAACTATTAAATGGTTACCAAATTTGCATCTAAATGCACACGATGTCATGATGTAAACCCAAGATCAGCTCTAGCCCCACAAGTGATGTACATCGCTGCCCTAGCCTCGGCTCACAACGTTCCCTTCCCGCTCGAATGGTATGAGTTTTACATAACGGTCTAAATTTCGTCGAAAGCTGATTTCTGTTTAATTATGGGTGATGGCACTGACTGTAAAATTTCTGTTTCGCATTTTTCTTACGCTCTGGATATCTGGGAAAATTAGAATTTCTGAAGAAAATTCATCGGGAAATTATATAATCCTTTGGTGAAAAATCCAATTAATAAAGAAGTGCCTTGGGTGCATTCACTACCAAGGGGCGAACCACACCATGAGCACTGAACCACAGCGAATAAGCATTTGTTCGACTGAAAGTCAGTGTGCAATATGTACATATGTACATAGGGTTTACTTTAGGATTTGAGCAACAAGAATAGCGATTATTATGCTCGGCGGCAGTACCATATGTTATGTGCAATTTGCTTCATTGTCTTGGGACGTTTCGATACACTATCGACCAAAATAAGAGCAAAGATTACCAGGGAGGGGTGTGTTTATAGTGAGCATAAGTGAATTATAAGCTTATTCAGAAGGGCAAGATTATTCTAGTCCAAAGTATTCAGCAGAAGCGTGAGGATTCCATAGCACTGGTTGAGTATCTGGAAGAATAGTTATGAGGGTGCTACCAGAGCTACCATTCAAGTGTTCTTCCATTAAACTCACGGCCTTGTAGTTAATCATATTAAAAGTGGGAAAGGGAGTAGCTCTCATGATCAATGGTTCCTGGGCACGCAACATTATAAGGCGAATATGGCAATCGATTTTCTTGGACCCAACATTTGGGTCGTAGGCCTCGTATGCAGCCTCGGCCACTTCCAGCGACTCCTGCGACATCATGTCCCCGAATTTCGTCCACATTGACAGGTGACCCAAGGCCAAGATCATTAGAAGTATGAACTGGCCTGCCACCTTGGGGTCGTGCCTGGCCATCATTGCCTCGAAGACCGACAGGGAGACCAGCAAGAAGTTGACGATCATTTGCATGATTAAAGGACCGTGGAATACCTCATTGCTTCGATCCACCAGACTGAAATAGGGACATCTATAGTAGACGTCAATTGTATCACTTATTTGTACCTGATAATCTTCTGATGATATTTGACCAGACGATTGATCTCCCATCGCAGCAGATCCTCGTCTCCATCGCAGAGCTGGTGAAGATGCCGAAGCTCAACGCACAGGACATTCAATCCAGTCGTTAGCTGCGAATAAATAGAGATCGATAGCCCTTCGGTAGAGACGAGCCCCGTTAGGAAGTACAGAATGCTCCAAGAATGTGATATGTATATGAGGATGTGTGTCACGGGGTGCTTTGATGAATCGTGTAAGTGGAAAGGGTAGGAAACATGCAACGGAAGGTCCTGCTGTGTCCAGAGGGGCGTGGTAACCAATAGCAGGACGAAGACGACCATGGAAAACGCCCAAATTATTTGCATCCCGATGACAATCAGATAATGCAAGCGTTTTGCCGATCGCACTCCTGCAGCAGCCGGGCCCGCTCTCTCCCAATGGTAGCACTCCTCGAGGCCATCGATTACCTCGTCCACGTTATCGGCATACAGCAGGAAATATATAAACTTGAAATAGATAAAAAACGACTGAAAATAAAGAACTTTGAGAAGCTATGTTTGTAAGCAGAAAAGATTCAGTGCGAACCGCTATTATGAAGGCGAGATCCCGACCCCATTCCACAAGGTCGTCCAGGGAGTCGAATATTCCATAGCATTGGGAGCAGAAAAACATCGTTATCTGAGAGAAAATAAACAGAAACCAGGTCCTGCGGCCGGGAATCCGTCTTTCCTCCGAGTTCGGGTAGTATCCCATGGCTCTAAAAAGCGAATCTGGTTATCATTATGTACAAAATACCGTCTTAATATCGACTTTAGCTGTGCTCGGCACTGGTGTGGCACTGTGTGCTCGGGACTCTCATCCGGACTCCTATAAACCGTCACGAATGTCATGTAAAGCTTCATGAAGCTCTTCCATTTCTCGCCCAGGCCAAGTCCGACCCGTTCTCTAGGCAGTTCGAACATCTGCAAGTCCGTGTAAACCGTACCGTACTGGCCGTGGAGACCGAATGACACTTTGCAGTCAGACATTGCCTTTCACAGGCGTCAAGTATTGTAAGTATAACACAATGTAATCGTATGGGAATGTGTTCTCTGGCGAGAATTTGCCAGCTGCTCCTTGGTGCCGGGGAATAATAACTTTAAATAGGCTTTGGTTTTGTAATTATTGGCGAATAATCCGCTTAAGGATTGCAGAAATGAGCTAAGGCTCGGCGGCAGTGCCCTGTGAAGCATTTTCCTTTAGTGTCTTGGCCGGTTTTCGTTCTAGTTTGCCGGCCAGGCTGTCATTTAAAGGCAAGTCCTCATTAATTTTAATAATTTTAAATCAAATTAAAATTTTATCAAAGGTCTCAATTGAAAGATTCTTGAGAGGGGGTGACTGGATATTACGATTCGTTGTCTCAATCCACAAAAACAAAGGCCCTTCTATCTTTATCCCTTAGCCCGTTTAGTCCTTTTCTCGGCAATTGCATTTCATGTAGCGACAAGAGCTCATCGCAGGCATTTTTGTGCAAATCCTAGCGATTTCAATGAATAATATTATTAATGGATGTAGCCAGGGGGCGGCAAGACTGGAACGAGAGAGGAGGCCTTGCTTGTCAGCGCGGGAGGCACATGACAGTCGCGTTGACAGCCAACAAGAATGGCAAGGAAGAGGACAGCTGTGGAACGACTTCTCCGAGCTCAGAGCCAAGTAAGCCGTTCTCTCGTTCCCCATTTCCCATTTCCCATTTCCCATGGACCGTGGAATCCCCCTCGCGACACACTTCATTCATTTTCTTTTCAATTTCAATTCCCGTCAAGACTGCAGTACCTCCTCCTCCAACATATTACGCCTCCATCAGCAGCGTCATCATCTTTGCAATGGAGCTGCACAGCCACCCATCCACCCATCGTCCGGTAATGAAATTTTACCCATTGTCTCCCCGTTTGGCTCTTTGGCAATTTTCAGATTTCTCTTTGCCAGCGATTCTGGAACTGACAATCGGTTGGGATATCGCTGGCACTTCAGGGAAATGACCGAGAGAGATTGTCGAGAGAGAGATAATAGCGAATAGATCCTAGATCCCCTTTGGAAAATGTTCCCGGAGTCCCAAGATTTTGCATCCCAGAACGACCCGACAGAATACGAGTGCTTATGCCTCTCTCTCCCTCTCGCTCTCTCGCTCTCTCGCTCTGCTCAATATAAATATCTTTTATGTTCATCGGCTTGTCAACATTGTCATCGTCAACGTCTCGTCCTGCTCTTCCTCCTCATTGTCGTCATCCCACGCTCCTCCCTGGCATTCATTACAGCTGTGCCATAAGAAGATTGGGCACTACTGAGAGGGGGGGCTGGGGCTGGGGCTGGAGCTGGGGCTTGGTAGGGAACGCTGCACTCTATTATTATTCATAGCAAGTAATTTGTTATCTGTGCTATGGCTCTGGTTCTGGGAATCGTTTTCATTGTTTTTGGCTTTTGGATATTTAATGAAATTGCACTTTTGCATGTGTCGCAATCTGTGGAAAATGTAGGTCAGATTTACATCACACACACACACACACACACACATATTTATTTTAGTTTTCAAAACATTCGACGACATAAGCTCATTTGTACATAGAATTTCCCCGCCCCTCATTTCTCGCTGTTTAATTTATGCAAAATTCGACCCTGTCAAGGTGGAATGGCCATATTTTATGTATTCAAAAGCAGACAGCACACAATTCTGCCCCAAAAGCAGACTAGAGGCCAACAAAACAACATGTACCACAAATGTATACGTTTAATGTCTATTTATTCCCTATATCTATGTGTAATAACTGGCATATTGTATGCAAATGAATAGACTTTTGCCAGAGGCAAGGCCATTCATCCACCGCCACAAAGGGAACGAAACTGAACACAGAGTGCAGTTGCTTCAATTAGAAAGACAATAAGTTATAATGGACATAATGCCTGCAAATATGCGAGGGAAAATCAAATGAAAAGCTGCAAATACTCGTATAATCAGCTTAATTGGCACTGAAGCCCAGCAGGATAAGCCTCAAATATTTTCCAGGAACTACAATAATTCAAAACTTTTATATTAGCTCTCAAACTAATCTCGTATTTAGCAAAAAGTTGCCGGAATGAAAACGTACGTATGTATATTCAACTTTCATAAACTATGCAGTAGAAAAATAGCTTAACGGGCTTTCGGCTTAAAGAACTTTATTAATTAAAAGCGTTATTTACTTTGACAGGCAACTAGGCCAGGACCCAATTAAAAAAGCTACAAAATTCAGATTTCAATTGAATAATCGAACAACGAACAACAAGTTCCGTGAAGGCCAGGTCAAAGGGCAGCAATTAAACATGTACAGAGTAGACAACTCTGGCAAAACAAGAGCCCAGATGAAGGCTCTGATGTGGTGGAGACCCCTTGCAGTGGCTCCACGGTTAATGCAGAGCCTGCGGCAGTCTCTTGGGACTAGCACCAGGTTTAGTTTAATTGAATGTCAACCGAGCAGGCACGTGGCAGCAGCTGCCTCTGCCGTCGTACATCCCAAATATCCTTGAATCAGTCCCTGCTTCCGTGTCTCTATGTATCTCCATCTCATCTCCCCTGTGGAATATTTATAGAGCTCTAAATGCACTCCCACACACGCACACATATCGCCATCGATGGGGCCGTGAATGGAAGCACTTCAATGAAATTTATGTAACACAAAAGCGGAATATATTGTTACATACCTTCCAAATGGGGAAGGGCACAGGGCACAGGGCACAGGGCAGAGGGCAGACTGGCAGAGAGACATGCAAAGCATATGGGAAATATAATAAAGAACTATTTATACAACGACTAACGGCATCGACTGGTGCATGGGGTGTATGCAGAAGAGATCAATAAAGGGTGCAGAAGGCGGGACCGAACCCAGGATATCCCACGATACAACAATAATACTGTACTTGTATATAGGAAAGGAATCTTCATTTGTCTGCAATGCGAGGTATTTTCAGGTCGTTTCCTTTCACGGCACACTCTCCATCTGGCGCTTGCTCATTTGCCAGGGCTGGCGAATCGACATGCGATACGGGCACGCTCCTGAAGTCTCCCCAGGGATGGGGCCCAGGGCAGGATGGGGCTGGCCCGTATTTGTGTGTGTGTGTTTGTGCTCCAGGTACATAAACTGCAACAAATTTCATACTATTGAGTGGTTTTTGAGTGCATTTGAAATAAATGTTATCAATGAAGTTGCATACTTTATGGCCCGCAATCCGCAACCTCCACCTCCCCCACCAGAACAGACCCAAACTCCCAATGGGGAAAACAAAAAACCCAGAGAGGACGAGGGAGACCATACGGTATGGGGTCGAATAAAATGAAACGTTTTAAAGTTAAGTGCAGTCCGGAGAGAGCCCAGACGGCCAGTGACTGAGTGTTTTAATTTGTTTGATGGAAAACCAATTGTGGACACGAGCTCCCAGCCCAACTATCGGCCATCGGCCATCGACTATCGCATGTCCATGCTGTTGTTCATCTTGAAATTCATTTAAAAGCATCCTCCCATTGCTGCCCCTCGAGAGCCACCCATTAAAGGACCATCTACTATGGAGACTGCATTTTGTCAATTTCCGATACCGGACTCTGGCGATTGAATGAAGTTGAGTTTTTTAATTAAAACAAAAAGCAAATAGAAACCCCAAACATCGAGTGAATTCCACTCTCTGGCAGGCAGCCGACATCAAGCATCGAATAAATCACAAAAGAGAGAGCTAAATGCCCAGAAAAAAACCCCTCAACGGGCCAAGTTGGTGTGAAAACATTTTGTTGTCCAACAGAAAAAACAACAAAATAGAAATAGAACAGAAACGAAACCGACTAAAGCTCAACCAGAATCAGAAACAGAATCCGAATCCGAATCCGTATCGGAGCTCGAATCAGAATCAGAACCAGAATCAGAACCAGAGGCACAACCAGAATCCGGGGCTTTGCAACAAAACCCGATGCCCCTCGTTATAACCATTCCCATTTCGTTCACAAACCCAACCCAAGTGCAACACTTTTGTTTGTTGATTGAAATGCCGTTTCAGTCCTGATGTTTCGGGACTTTTTGTTGTTGCTGTACTTTTTTTTTGTGCTCGTTCGATTTCATTTATCGATTTCGTTCCTTTGTTCTTTTGCTCCTGTTGTTTATAAATAAATGATTAAATTTTAAAGTAAAACAGCACCGAAGTTTGCAGACCCTTCAAGAGAGTACAGTTATTCAGCAAAGAACCAACCGCATCCGATTGGAACTGGATCGTAACTTGAGTGTGGTTCTCCACTATGGGAGGGCCAACGTTTTGAGCATAGTTGTCGTTGTCCATCTCCATGTGGCCTATAATCTTATCGTTTTCCGCCTGCAATAGTAGAATGGTTCTCAGACCTTAGATTTGGTTTTTAAGACTTCAAAGAATTCATTGCGTACCTTCTACATTCTGTTTGAAGTCGAAGCGGTCTCTCTCTTGGGACTTTCACCCCCAATCTCCCATTGAATGGGCATGACGGTTGATCTTTCCTTATGTTTCGAGTATCCACGACCACAAATGCCACGACACTCTCAGAGAGCCACAAAACATCATAAAAGTACGAGAGGTGCCAGTTTTTTGTCTTGGATCACCATTTAATCAGCATCTAACACCTCCCAATGCTCCTGAAATGCACTGCCATCGGTCTCGGTCTGGCTGACATTCGTGCATAACAAACTTCTGCAATCTCCTAAATAATGATCGAGTTTATTCTTTTTATACCCGATACTCAAAATGAGTATTGGGGTATATTAGATTTGTGGTAAAAGTGGATGTGTGTAACGTCCAGAAGGAATCGTTTCCGACCCCATAAAGTATATATATTCTTGATCAGCATCAATAGCCGAGTCGATTGAGCCATGTCTGTCTGTCCGTCTGTCCGTCTGTCCGTCTGTCCGTCCGTCCGTCTGTCCGTCTGTCCGTCTGTCCGTCCCCTTCAGCGCCTAA